CATATTCACAAATGCCGCTACACTAATCAAAAACCTCTTCTTTCTATTTTCTTAAACAAAGTCAAACAATATATTGCAACTATTAGACATTCTATAAATACGAAAGCTATTAAAACCCGTGCCTTATGTGATCTTTTTCAAGTCTTTGTGTAAAGTTATTTTAAAATTGTCTCAAAGCTTGTAACCTAACCCCCTGGCAAATGTTTTACTCTACTCTATTTTACATTGTTCTCCATTTTGATTCTAATTAAAAAAACCTACAAAAAAAAAAACTCTGAAATGTTCATTCTGACTAGGAAGAAATGTATTTGAGATATCTGAAATACRTAAGCATATTCAGTCAAGCTAATAAATGACAAAACAGCGACTTAGAATTTGTAAAGATTTATAGTTCATTTTTATTTTTTGACATCCCGAAATTCAGTTCCTGCTAGCAAATATACAAAATTACATTCCTATCAGAACTTTAATTCGCTAAGCGGAAGTCAGCTTGTTGTTGTGTCCGGACTCCGACGGGAAACAGCGGCTCAAATGATTTATTCCGCCCTTTAGCTACGGAAGCACGTAGTCAATAGTGTTAGTTAAATTGCTTTTCTAATACCTAAACAGACAATTAATAACTGTTTTTTTTTTTCGTTATATAATGAGTTGATTTGTGTGAAATTATTTTACGCCAAAGTCATTTTTTATTGTTAATTTTAGTCTTATAACCGAAGGTAACAGATGTGTTTTTAGATTTCAAGCTAACAGCAGATAACTGGGTTTCCTGCAACATAGGCTTGTTTCTGTTGCCGGATGCCTCTCTGAAACCACTTGTTTCCACTTTTATTTTGAACTATTTTTGCGCTAGTAGTGGCTGAAAGACTGTTGTCTCAGAATGGCTCACGGTGTCAGGAGAGATTCCCCGGAGTTCCCAGATTTCTCCTTGCTCAAGAGACTGGTCAGAGATCAGCTCATCTACCTGCTAGAACAGGTAGGAAACAAACAGGACACCATCAARACAGCAGACTACACATCTGTGTCGAGTTTGGTTGGGCTGGCTGCCAGCATTGGGCATCTTGATTAGACCTACCACATGTTATGAAAAACATTTTGAAGTCACTATTTTAAGCAGCTACACAACAGCCATTTACATAATTGAAAAATGTCAAATAGTAATTATATGATTGATGATGAATTTTAATGGCATTTTCAGAAAGATAACTGGATGTAGATCTATTGATTAACTTTTGACACCATCCACATTCAATATGGTCATAGCAAAGCTACTTTAGAAAAAACAAAAAACTGCTGCAGCACAGTACATATTACAGCATCATCCTTAACTTGGGATGCACAATGTATTTGTATTAATATCGGTATCGTCCGATATTGGTAATTTTTTTTTTTTAGAATATCAGTATCGGTCCGATAAGTAAAACTGGGCTGATATTAACATTTAGTATTGATTTCCCACGTTTTATCTTTGTGTTTGTGTTTTGGGAGGGGAGATGGTTGGTTGAGCAGCATCTGTTTGATCATGATAGTGATATTGATGCTGTGCAGCCAGGAATAACTGAAGTAGGGAGCCATGTCAGAGGTCTGGTTGTTTATTTACAGTATMGAAAAAAGACTCGTGTGTTCGTGCATATATGTATAATATAATTTGTGTATTTGTGTAATATCGGTAAATATCGGYTATCGGCCATAACWYCAATAATTATATCGGGTATCAATATCAGCTGAAATTTTCATATSGGTGCATCCCTATCCTTAACATAYACTCTCATTGCAACACATTGCACTACTTATTTGCTTAAAAMTTTGGCATTTACAGTTGGCACCATGCCATCTGTTTGTTGGTTAGCAAATCTCGTAGGCTAATAAAGTCATTTTAAAAAGTCTCAGAAAGCAACTGTTASATATGCATRTACAACTGATTAATATTTGGAGCTCTTTATTGTATGAGAGGATAAAGTTTTTAATTTTGGTGTTGATCTAAAATGGAATAAAGTAATAGTCATTTGTACTTGTTTTCCAGTGGACAGCTTTATTTTTTATTTTTTTATTTATTTGTGTGTGTGTGTGTGTGTGTGTGTGTGTGTGTGTGTGTGTGTGTGTGTTCAACACATTGTTTCTTCTCTTGTCATTCAGCTGCCGGGGAAGAAGGACCTTTTTATTGAAGCCGACTTGATGAGCCCACTAGATCGCATTGCAAATGTGTCAACACTAAAGGTGAACCATGTTTACGACTTGACTCAACAAAACCTGTTGAAACTAAATGTTTGCAGTGATCGGTCCATGCCGGGGGGTTGTAACGACGTCATCCAGGATCAGCTTTGCAGCATAGCAAAGTGTCGTAAATCAGCTCTAAGACTGACACTTAAGAATTACTCCTACACTTTGCTTTAGCTAAGAATGTTTTTACACTTAAGTCCACTCTTAACAGCATATTTAAGAGTAATTCTAAGAAGTTTGAAACATACGGGCCCTGTGATGATGCTTTCTGAAGTTGTTCAGAGATGGTTATTATCCACAGTAATCAGTCCTATACCAACAAGTGCTGAAAGGCCACAATGAATAATTAAATCATTTTTCCAAAAGCAACGTTTAAAAGCCAGAATAGTGTTCAAATACACAGGGACAAAGACCTTCATTTTTGGAAACACATCCTGAGGTGATGTCATAATGACCACTGTTGCATTTATAGGAAAAATGGGAAGCGTGTCGTCTGAGAGCACAATCCTAACTGTAAATTACAGGTGGTAGCAGGTGTTTTACTGCAGGAGCCACTGGTTCACTTTACAGACAAATGACATCATTAGGAACCGATTCAATTCAGTTCAGTTCAGTTCAGTTTACTTATATAGCGCCAAGTCACAACATACGTTGTCTTAGGGCACTGTACACAACACTGTACACAACACTGTACACAAAAAAAACAATAAATCTAAAGAAACCAGCAGATTGCGTTGAATCACTTCATCACAGTCTCCCATCCTGAGCAAACGGTGGAGAGGAAAAACTCCCTGCTAATCAGGAAGAAACCTCCAGCAGAACCAGGCTCAGACAGGGGGCCATCTGCCTCGACCGGCTGGTTGAGGGACAGGAAAGAGACACAGGTAAACACAGAAGAACTGGTCCAGGACTGGTCCGGGTGCACATTCTTCTGGAAAAGACAAAGAAAAAACATGATAGAAATAATTACAATAAACATGTAGAGAATAGAGACTAAAGATAACAGCAGAGTGAGGAAATGTGCTCAGTTTGTGCTCCAGCAGTCTAAGTCTATAGCAGCAGAAATGAAGAATAATTCAGGAAAACTAAGTCTAACTATAGGATTTATCAAAAAGGAAAGTCTTCAGTCTAATCTTAAAAATAGACAGAACAAATCATGTGGTAATACTGAAACTGAACTGAAGTGACAATTCAGACATCAGCTAGGAAGATAAATATTGGACACAAATGGTTTAGGTGCTGATCCTAAGCATACAGTAACTTTGGTTACATTAATGTCAGACAGTGAGGAAAAAAGTGTTTTTTTTTTCCGTATGTGTAAACATCTGTCGTCAACTTTAAGTACTCTTTTCTAATATCTTTATAAAACATTTTGTCTCTTTTTTGCAGCAACACGATGTTGATAAACTCTACAAAGTAGAAAACAAACCTGTTCTCAGTGCCTCAGATCAGTGAGTTCTGAATCTGTAAAGCCTTACACAGTCGAAGGTTTTACTGCTAACCTGGTGTGATTGTGTCACATTGTTGTCTTACTCTCCTACAGGCTCTGTTTTTTGATCCGACCAAGAATACAAACTGTCAAATGGATCTGTGGTAAGTAGAGCTTTCTGTTCCTATCTTGACCTAAAAGTATCATTTAGAATTTTTAGGTTTCAGTAGGTTCATTGGTCTGTGCCACGGTCTCGTAATTCAAGTCCACGTTTTGTCAGGAAAGGGATCCACATGGCAACCTCTGCTGAGGAGAGAAGCTGGAAAATAACAACAGCCGTTCATTAATTAAAATGTTCAGTTTGATCGAAAAGTGTGCTGTGACCTTTACACTTTTCAAAATATTGCAAATTGAATGCATTTCAAAATACAAATTTTTATTTAAAATATAATTATCCTAAGGAATATATTCAGATSTTATTGTTTCATCCAGAAACAATGTGCTTCAGCATACATTCTCTGTTTTTGTCTTCTTTGGTACGTTTTGCAGTTTGCTGTCATTCTGCTACTTTTAAGCATGGTTCTACTTATTTTAGCATTTTGGTCACTTTTARGCACAGTTTTTATCCTTTTAGCTTCACCTGCTTTGCTTCTTTTAGGTTTTGAGCTTATATTCTGCTCGCTTCAGCCTGRTTTAGTTACTAATTGAACTGTGTCGTGTTCTTGTTTGGACTATTCTGTTGTCTCTGTAAACATGAGACACTTTAGCTTTGAAAAAAACAACAACCCTGCCGTGAGTCAGGAGTCATTAAGATATTTAAAGCAGCATGTCTTTTACTAAAAACTTTAGCACCTTTATTTATTTTAAACATCAGCAAATTATCTGAGCTAATACCAAGACCAAAAATGTCTGGTTGTCTGTCATGTTGGAATGCTTTGAAAAGTAAAATTGTGTGTAAAATGTGTTCAGCAGACCAAGTGGTAACTAGATAATGTTTGGCTGCAGGTCCTTTTGCTCGATGTCTACATGCAAAAACTGGAGTAGCTGTAATCCTGCTGGCAGGGGATTCACACAGATATACTCTTTCATTCCAGACGTGGTGAATGCAGACAAGGCAGCAGGAAAATTTAGAAGATACAAGATCATTTTCACCCCTCAGAAGGTCCGTCATCCTCTCATTGACTCTTTTTTTTGATGAAGGCAGTTTTAAATGTTAGTTCTTTTGGTGCAGTCTTGATTCACATCAAGACATAGAACTTTACAGGAAATAAGTTGTATATTTGTCTAATTAAATCGTCTAAATCTGTTAAATTTAATCCTGCTTAAATCGGAACTGTCTAATTCAGTGTATTAGTATTTATAAAAAAAATAATAACATTTATTTTGCTTCTGTTTCCTGTCCAGTTTTACGCATGTGATGCTGTGTTGGAGGAGCAGGGGATTTTCGGTGGTGAGCTTCTATGCGTTTAGGCTTTTTGATTTAGTGGCCATGATCAGTTCAGATGAAGAGAAGTGCTGAGTTTGTTTTTCTGTCCTCCCRCAGATGTGACCACTGACGAGTGGGCTTTCCACCTCCTTCCACTTGATGATGATATCATCAGTCTAGAGCTGCCCGAGTTCTTTCGAGACAACTTTCTGGTAAATTAAGGCCTAAAATAAAGCTGAAACCAATCAGTGACTGTTTAATGTGTTAACAACTGTTAATGCCTTTTGTGCTTATCTAAGCTAATTAAAGGGATCCCTGATTACTTGTAACATTAGACTTTATTTAATAAACATAATTTAACTGTAAATTAAAGGCTGTAAAAATATTGTAGGATTTTTAGTTTTTATCATTTTTAAACTAAAAGTTTAAAATATATTACACAGACAGGTCCATTTTATTTACAAGCAAAGCATTCTGGGTAAATGATGACGTGGATAGGTCCTCGGTGTGAACGATTTATATCCACCCTGAAGGTTAATCTTGGACAATATCTGATGATCAGCTCTTTTTAATGAAACCAGAGAGCGTTGACAGAGAGGAGAAGGTAGAAATGACTCAGCCTGTAACTGAAAATATGGATGGAGGACCTCAGTTTAGCTTGTTTGTTGCGCTAGCGCCGAGCTAATACAAATAAGGCAATATAGCATCAGCGCTAAAGCTAACAGGCTAAGCTGAGGTTCTTCTTCCATGAAGCAGCTCTGTTGTCCTCCATCCATATTTTCAGTTCCAGGCTGAGTCATTTCTACCTTCTCCTCTCTGTCAACGCTCTCTGGTTTCATTTAAAAGAGTCGATCATCAGATATTGTCCAAGATTAACCTTCAGGGTGGATATAGCTCGCTCACACCGAGGACCTATCCACGTCATCATTTACCCAGAATGCTTTTTGAGTAAATAAAATGGCTCAGTCCACGTTAAAATATATATTTTTAAAATGTACAAAACTGAACAGGCTACAGTATTTTTACAGTCTTTATTTTACAGTTAAAATAAATGTTTATCAAATAAAGTCTGTTACATCTAATCAGGGATCCCTTTAAGAACTTGTATGTTCAGTCAAAGTAAAACTTGTGTTTTTCCAGGCAGGAGACCAGCGATGGGTGAGGACAGCWGGGAGCGCTCTGCGCCTCCTCCACTCCCTCTACGGCCCGTTCTCTAAAATCTACGGCATCGGCCGCTGTTCTAAGGTGCGCACTGACCAGCCACCAGAGACTGGCTCAGCTTGCAGAAATGCTCCGATGTTCCGGCTTTACAGGATAACGTTTCTTCTGCTGTGCCGTTTGTCCTTCACCTGACACCAGATGACATACGAGTCGTGGAGGAAGCAGGTCGAAGMGGAGGAACAAAAACCTCGAAAAGCTGAAATCGGGAATGTTTTTCTTATCGATCGAGGTGAAGGAGCAGATGGAACGACTTGCTGCTCTCAGCTTTTATTTCAACCCTCATAATGGTGTTTGTGTTTTTCTTGCAGATGTGGATTTTGTCACTCCTCTCTGCTCACAAGTCGTCTACGAAGGCCTCGTAGATGATATATTTAAAATCAAATGTGGTGGGTATCCACACTCAGTCAACAGTGTTTAAAGACTTTTAAAACAAAGTACTAATGGTTAGTTTATTTCAAACTTATAAAAATTAAAAACAAAAATAATATAACAAGATAACAGAATTAAACTTTTGAAAATAAATGGGAAGATTAAAAAACTTCTCCAAAATGTATTATAAATAATAAATTCTTCTGTTTCCTTGTTTTTCACACAATGATTATTTTAGTAAGACCAMTAACAATAACCAGTTTACTTAATATTCTACATATGCATTTTATAACAGTTAAAAAAACATTGATAAATTACATTTCTAGACATTTTTTATTACTACTACTAAAGAAATGTAGCATGTATGCACTGATGCTGAGATTCCAATATTTTACATTTCATCCAAATCACATTCTTCAAATCAACCAAACATTTTTAGTCTGAACGTTTTATTTTTGGAACCCATTTCCATGAAGGCTTTTCTTTTAACTGGTATATATTAGCTTTTTTTATTTCAATTCAAAAATATTTTATTGATCCCAGAGGGAAATTAGGTCTATTTAGAAGACCTAATTTTTAGAATTAGTTTTTTTTATTTAAAAGCTTTGCAAAAATGTTTAATTTTTTTAAACAGCATTAAAAACTCATTTGTTTGAACTTTCATCTGATAGAAACAAAAACAACAGAAACAGACCTTTATTGTTCTTATAAGCCAAACTTGAAAGAAATAAAACCCAACTAAGAACTCCAGGCAAAGAACAGGTTAAATTTTTTAAAAAAAGTACGGTTTTCTTTGTGCCGATGTCTCATCACAGCACCTTGTTCTGCAGGATGTGTGGAGTTCGGTCCTGACGTTACCTCGTCTGATAAAAGTGTAAAAGTCATGCTGAACTCTCATGATAAGGTAGAGCTGATATTAGAGCAGAATGTTCCTAGCTGTCATGGTTTGAACCTAAACATCTGTTCAAACTCTTATTTCTCGCAGGTGTTCAATGAAATCCGAAATGAGCATTTCTCCAACGTCTTCGGGTTCCTCAGTCAGAAAGCCAAGAACCTCCAGACTGCATATGATGTGAGTAAATGTTTACTGGAACTAAAGTGAACTACTCAGCTGGTGCTTTTATTTTTGGTCCGTTTTCTGCCTGCAGAAGCGTCAGGGCATGGACATAAAGCAGATCAAGGCGTTTGTGTCAGATGAGCTGAAGGGGTTAAAGCAGGAGCATCGGCTGCTCAGCCTACGTGAGAGCTGGTTTACGTTCAGCTGTTTGTTACGTGTTTTTAAAACATTTTGAAACGCTGYGTTACTTTTTCTTTCAGACATCGGTGCCAGTGAATCTATAATGAAGAAGAAAACAAAGCAGGACTTTCAGGAGCTGTTGAAGACTGAACACTGTAAGGTTTAGTTTGGATCTTTTTGTCAGCTTCAGGTCCTGGTTGTATAGACATGGTATGGAAGTTGATGTACTTTAGGAAAATYGTGACTCCTTGAAACAACAGCTAAAGTAAAGACAGGTTTTACCTGTGTGCTGGAACAGATGAACAGTATCTGAAAGTTTTCTGTTCAAAAATAATAAAAGTTTTCAGCTCTTTGAGAATCAGCTTTGTTGAAACTCTAATCCTTTATTCTGTCAAACTGTGTTGTTGTAATAAATAGTAACAAATTGTGACATTGTCTGCAGAGRGCAGAGAGCCTAGAAATTTGTCTGAAAAAGAGTCTCAAGAGCCTGTCGTGTTGACACAACCCTGGTTCATCTTTAGTTTTGAGAGTTTTTTTGGTTCCTAAGTCAGTTTTAAGCAGCTTAAAAAGAAAATTTTCTCTAAAATCTGTAAATACAAAGAAAAAATGTTTTGAAGACTTTTAGAATACACGGAACTATTGTTCAGAAGCTCATTAAAAGCTCACATAAAGCTTGGAAGGAAACTCTTCAGAAATGAACTGGAGAAAGACTTTGGTACATTACTGGGAAATGCCATTTGTTGAAGTTAATACATTTGTTTCTAAACAACTCAAAAGTTAAAATTTCTATCCAGGTTCTTCACACACTTCTCCTTTGTGTGTCCTTTGGAACGGGGGATGCAGTTTAGACCCTGAACTGGTTTCTAGTCCATAGAKACTAACAACAACTGTTCACGCTCTCACCCACACCCAGAAACAACAGTCATGTTTTTGACAGTGGTGGGCAGCACTAATCTAAATATTAGTTGCACTAACCCGAAAGAACTAACTCAAATATTTAGGTCCCCTAATTCTAAAACACTAAAATAATCCAGTTGACACATGAAACATTCTTCAGCCAACATGAGACAATATTTACTGTGTGCAGAATGTTGTCACTTAGTGCCCTTGGCGGCCAAATGGGAGTCACCCGCAGGCCACATTTGGCCCGCAGGCCTTGAGTTTGACATGTGACCTTGTAGATAAGTGACACATATGAACAAAATGTGTGACAGCTTTCACCCTCAGCTGTGAACAATAATGTTGATCAATAACATTTAAAGACCTCAGTTAGTGCTTCAAAATTTAGCCCATAAATTTAGCAAGTGCTAATCCACTAAGGAATTAAAAAACAGCAAAAGCCCTAAAGCACTACTCAGGAAATTAGTTCCCCTATTAGTGATTTAGTGCTTTAGGGGAACTGTGCCTACCACGGGTTTTTTGATCTGTGGGGGGAAACCGGAGTATCTGGAGAAAACCCACACATGCACGGGGAGAACATCCAGACTTCAAACAGAAAGGTCCAAAGCTGGGAGGTGGTCCTGCAACTRGTGTTGTAGAACTCGAGACCGGTCTTGGTCTCRACTTGGTCCAGCCCCTAAAATCTTGGTCTTGTCTCTGTCTCCTGTGGTCTTGGACTTGACTACAACACTACCGGCACTCTTCTCATTGAGGCTCGAACCACTGTGTTGTTCTAGTTGAAAACTAATTTAGGTTAATTTAACTGTAGTAAAATGACATTAAAAATCCTTACAAACTGTTCTAAACACAAAGGGATCTGATGAAATGTTAAGGCCACATTGCTGCAACTGAGTTTAGCCAGCAACACTTTGTTGCTTTGAAAAGACAAAACAATGCACAAAGCATAGGACACAAAGTTATTTTCTTAATAAATGCTTTGTAGTTCTGATTGAAGCTTTACAAGCTCAATCAAATAAATCAAAGTGTTAACTCACTGAGATAGTTTAGCCTGCTCCACATTTGGTTGCTGCCTCTCTTTTCTAATGGGACCAGTTTCATGAGCCAGTAGTGTCAGTTTTTTAGTTTTCTCTGATTTTGCTGAAGTAAACACAAAGCTGACTGTTTTTCCTTGTCACTGGTCTCTAAACCAGTCTGTTTATTTATTTAACAGTTCTTAAGACAGCCTGTCAAATGAAACCAATTTAACTGGTTAATCAGGATTTTTATCAGCTGCTGCCAAAGGCTATATTTTTTACACATATCTGCGTGTTTGTCTCTAGTGTTGGCAAAGTATCTCATGAACCATTGTGCAGATTTTAAAACTCAGAAAGTAATTTGTTAATATTATTATTTAGGATGGCTTCCACAGCTGGAAGTAGWTGAGCGTCATTCCCATCTTACCTCAAATGCTAACAGATTTTGAAAGATTGCACTAAACTCCGTGACAGATTTGAGCATTTTACCAGGTTTAAGCAAAACAGCTACAACATAGGATGGTCTTAGTTTAAAACTCTGGAGTGATCTGCATTTCTCCAAAGAATGCCAGGTCTTTGTTAGCCTGTGTGCACAATCACAACCTTAGTGTTTTGTTCATACACATCATATACCTGCTGTTAGTCCAGTGGATTTTAAAGGTTAAGGCCCTGCCACACTAGACAACTTATGCCAACTTATGAAACATTTTTTTTACATCTAAATTGCTGATAAAAGTTATATATTTGATCAATTTATTTGAATTTCATTATGGCCACGCTGAAAAGAAGCTTCCTGTTGATTTTTTCAATTCCATCTTCAGTGTAGATGTCTTTAAAATGTTCATAAGTTGGCACAAGTTGTCTGGTGTGACAGGGCCTTTAGAGATTTTCTACATTTGATAAGTCCAATAAGTTGTCACTAAAGCTAACACAGAAACYGTGTGACTTTATTTAACGGGACATGAGTCCAGATTATTACTACAGATTGTTTGGTACTGATTGCTTCTGTCCGTGTTCTCAGGTTTACTTGAAGGGTTTGAAATCCGTGAAAGCATCTCTTTCATAGAGGAGCACATCAACAGACAGGTGGGCTTTGTCGCTCACAATTTTTGTTAAAGTGTTACTTGTGGAAAATGTTTTACTTACCATTATTAAATTTTTATTTACTTTTTTTTTGCAGGTCTCCACAGTTGAAAGTCTTAAGCTGCTATGTCTTTTGTCAGTCACAGAAAACGGTGAGTTGTCCCTCGTGGTTCTGAAAATGAATTTTCACTTATTCCAGTGTTATAAATGCAAAAGGTGTRACTCCCATTTCCTCTCAGGGCTCCTGCCAAAAGACTACCGGTCATTAAAAGCACAGTTTCTTCAGGTGAGCACAGAAGGGCTCTTTGAATTTCAGAAACAAATATTTGATATTGTTTATCACCCGCCAGCATGAAAGACAATCAGCTAATAGTTTGCTGTGTCTGATATGAACATGAATCAGTGGACAGTATTTAATGACATTTTCAGAAGGCATGTACAAACATCTACAGAACAACAAACTGACTAAAGACTTCATTTGATTCACGATGGCTACTGCGGCTATGTGTCTTTAAAACAACGTTCAATATTTGTCAATACAAAAATGTCTATATGTTATTTTTTATTTTATTATTAGGATTTTTAAAATTTACAATAAGATTGTTGTATTTTTCTTCTTCTAACATTTTCTCTGGCTTCACTAGAGCTACGGAGTGGACCACCTGCTCACATTTTCTAACCTAAGGCAGCTGGGCCTGCTGGTGGAGCAGCAGCCAGGGGAAACTCTTACTGCTATGGAGAGCAAAGTGGGCAAACTGGTCAATGACAAGACTGCAGGTAAAACAGGTTTTATTATGGATGCTTATTTCAGAAGGTAATGAGACAAAAACTTTCAAAGATCTCAGGTTGAAACTGTCTGCGATAAAGTAAAAAGTCAAAGTAAAAGCCAGAATTACCGTTTTGTTTTTGGACTTCTCCTTGAGTGATTTGTTCATTCACTGATTTTATTTTATTTATTTATTTTGTTAAGGAAAGCTTACTGATGCATTTTCCTCACTGGCAAAGAAAGGCAATTTCAGAGCTTTGAGCCGAAAGCTCAACCTGGTAAATTACTTTTTTTTCTTAATTCTATCTAAAAAGTACTTCAATTATGTCAAAAAGTAATTAGTTTTATCTCCACTGCACTAAGAAAAGATGGATGGCATTAAGTATATTTTTTGTAAAGGTGCCAAAGTCAGATGAAGAATATGACCTGCGTGTTCCTCGAGACATGGCCTACATCTTCAGCGGTGCTTATGTCCCCCTGAGCTGCAAACTCATCGAGCAGGTGAGAACATGAGCTGGACTTATTCCACTGAATAAGAATGAATTCCAGAATCATGTTTACTGTATTGCTGGTAATTTTCACAGGTGTTGGAGCGAGATGGTTGGACTGGCCTTGAAGAAATAACCAGGCTGCTTAATGGGAATGAATTTGCTGTAACAGGTTAGCTCAACATCAGATCATCTCTACAGTGACAGAGTCTGAAGAAGCTTTATTGATTGATTGATTGATTGATTGATTGATTGATTGATTGATTGATTGATTGATTGATTGATGCCTTTGTCATTGTGCAGAGAACAATGAAATTCCATATTTTCAGTTGCAGGCTGAGTCATTTTTGTGTTCCCCTCTCTGTCATGTGGATGGAGGACCTCAGTGACGAGAGGAGAATGTGTAGCACTGAGCTAATACATATATATGG